TGAGCATTTGATCTCACCTTGAACAAGAGATTGGAGGCCCCTGAGGCTCTCCTACATCCTGTTGCCCACTTCCTCTGTATTGACTCAGAGTTCGGTGTCATTCCCCTTAAAGCCCTTACATAAGACCCAGCAGCCCTCAGTGCCTCCTCTTTCCCATCCTGTCCAGAACACCTGGGTCCTGGGTCCCTCATACTGTTTTTCTCTCTATGGCTTCAGATTCCCCCTTCATTCCTCTGTGGAACCAGGGGATCTTAGTGCTGTCCCCTGAAAGTGACCCAGAACAGCCAGTCCCTGTGGTAAAGGCGGCTGCCACCCAGTTCATATTCAGGGTGATGTTCAGGACTGGCCAGTCTAATGCATTAGGAGCAGACAGGAGAGCCAGGCTTGCCCTGTCCCCTGCCCTGGGGTAGCTGAGCCCTGAAAGTAGGTCTCATCTCTGATTACCCTCTGCCTCTGCTCAGGGCTCTCTTCCCTTCTGGCTTTTGTCTAGCTCTGTTCCCCCTTCCTGCCTGCTCTGTGAGACTGGAGGGAAATGGTTTGAACTTGGTGCTGGCACTGTCCCCTTGCTCCCAGAGACACCATGCTCCTGCTGAGACAGTAGGGAATTAATCGTGAAATACCAAGTGCAGTTCCATGGCACTGGGGCGAGGAGCAAGACTCTTAGCCATATCCTGAGCTCCCAGCCATAGGTGGGAGGGGTGGAGGACAGCCGGGAACCCTAGGAGATTCAAAGTCAAGATCAAAGCGTTTCTCTCTGAAGGCCTCACACTCTCCTTCCCTCCCACTTGCACATAAAAGGACTCTGCCCTCAGCAGGCTCTCCCCTCTGGAGGGTGGGTGGAGGAGGGGAACGGTTTCCCCCCTGCTTTTCCTGTGTTACTAATAACTCTTCGCAGAGGTGAAATGATGAAAATTCTTGCCCACCCCTCCTCCCTGATTCCTGCTTCTTTCCCAGATCCAGAGGACCTGAAGTTTATTTTAATGACTGAGATTTCATGGCAGACCTGGCCTTCTTTGGGGTGTTACCAGCCAATGCCAGCACAGAGGAGATGCAGTGAGCAAAGCCTTTGAAGTGTACAGTAGAAAGACACTGTTAGAGGCAAAGTAAAAGGAAGAAAGATTTGAAAGAAAGCAGAGCAGTTTGGCCCACAGGAGGGTGAAAGGCTAATTAAGGCACAGACCATGGAGGAGGAAAAGACAGAATCATTAAGATATCACAGCAGGAGTCGATGGTGCGGCTCCATGGTGGTTAAGCCAAGCTGAGCCTTGTCTCTGCCACTCGCTCCCCCTTGATTCTCCATTCCCATCCTCTGCTTCGTGTTGGCACTGTAGTGTGAGGGACTGTGTATGAGCCAGTTCAGGTAGCTGATACAGCTGAAAACTAGTTGGTTTAGTTCATACCCTAGACGAGACAAGAGGTGAAACTCAGGACAAGAGTTGGCATTACACCCAGACAAATACCCCTTACTTATTAAGGATTAGAGAGGGGGCTAAAGCTTGCAGGTGATGCTAGACTGAAGAAGCTGCAAGCTCCAGTGAGGACGGGCACATATGAAGAGGCCCAGAGACTGGAAACAGGCAGGAGTCACAGATAATTTTGGAAAGACTGGGAAGAAGGCATTCTTACAGCAATACTTCATTACGAGCGGTTGCAGAAAACTGCCAGCAGTAAGAAAGACCTGGGGCAGGGAGACTGAGGGAAAGAAGGCTGAGATGCTAGACACTCAGCTGCAACACTGCGGTTTTGTGTTTCTTTCAGTGGTCACGGCAGCCCAAGCGGTCCCTGCTCCAGCTTGTGCCAGGAGGACCCGGAGCTGTATACTCCTCTGCCACCACTGAGAGAGAGGTTTGTCAGTCTGCTATCTCCATCCCAGCTACACACGAGAGAGGGCAGAGAGAGCGAGATGGAAAGGGGCTGCAAAATGCAGCGAAGAGGGATTGCTAGGAGGCAGGGTGCTGAGAGGCAAGCAGTGTGGAGGGATGGCTGGGTGCCAGGCAGGATCCAGACCAGGTCTAAGGAGAAAATAGAGTCTGAGGAGCCCAGGGCGAGAAGGGAGAAGGACGGGGGATGGGGTGTTTCACACCTAGCAAACAGGAGCAGATGGGGCTGGAGTTACAACACCACAAGGAATTAAACCTTCACTGCCTCAAGGAGCCTTGGATTTAGTAAACCATTCCCATCTCTCCCTTCTCGGGGTCTATTGCAGGCTGTTTAGTGAAGAGTTAGCAATGCGGACGGGGTTTCTCTTGGGTCTGTAGCTAGTTGGGGAGCTGAGATATGGCCCTGCAGTGTAAACACAGCCATACAACCCTGCAAAAGCTGTGATTCCCCAATCCTTTCCCAAGCCCTGCCCCCAGGCACACTCTGAAATGGCCATACTGTTTGCTTGGGGAGAAACGTGAGAAGTAGAGCAGAGTGCTGTAAAAGATGTAAATGTTTCGGTGCCGAGAGCAGCTCTGAGTGTCTAGGGCACAGCCCTGGTGGGGGATGGAGAGGCCCTGAGAACTCACTACTCTTTTGTTCTTGATCTTGGCTGTGTTAAGAGAGGTCCCAGGAAAAATCTTGGATTTCTGATTCACCAAAGGGAGCTCAGAGTCTGTGCTTTATCAGGTGGTGGTCATGGAGGAACAGGGACAAGACAAAGGGCAGGGAGGGACAAGGTAGGGAGAAGGGTTTGGGGTAACCAGTTGTGGCCATCTCATCTCTCTGCCAGATCCCCTGGCTTCCTTGATGTTGGCAAGCCATTTCATCAGCAGGGGAGGGAACAGGAGGACTATCCCCCAGCTATAAGGTGCAAGAGGGAGCAAAGGAGTCACTTCAATCCCAGTAAGCACTGACATGGTGACACATACAATTGCCACTGCTGCAATATTGCACCCTGAGAGAATGTGACTGCCTATGAGCAACTGTCACCCAAGTCTGACGCAACAGCTGAGAAAAAAACGGATCCTTTTAACATAAAAATTAGTCACCACCGAGGTCAGGCTTTTATAGGGCTGATCTCTGCCCTTTGGAGCTTAACCTTTAAATATGACTGATAGCATTGGGAATTCCAGTAGTAAAAGGGCTGAGAGAAGGAAGATGAGAGCAAGGAGATGGGGACACTGCTTAGGGACAGTGCCATTTGCTAAGGAAAGACTGATGAGCCTTCTTTCATTCCAGAGTATGCGTAAACCAATTTTACATTTTGATAGTGCCTGGGCCCATGAGCGGATAGCAACAGAGCAGAGACGGAGGAGATGAGGCTGAGGGAAAGGATGGAGAAAGAAGGCTGAGAGGCGAGGAACTGGCAGGAGGATGAAGCTACTCAGCATATGAGTACAGGGGATGTGCGCTGGTCCCGTGGGGGTATGTGCAGGAGTACGTGCAAGGGCTCAGGAAGAGAAATGGTATAAACAGAACGGTAGGTGTGAGAGGTGCACGAGGAAGCTAGAGACTTGAGCTTGGAGGATCCTTAATCTTCTATGATCAGACCTGTACAGAAATTTCCTTGAGGTAAACCTTTCATAACCTAGAGCTCAAGTGACTTTCCAAACCTGGAAAAAAACTGAAAGTGAAATCACTGCAAAGAGTGGCACAGCAGTCACCACAAGTTCTGTGTCTTTTTGAACCACCCCAAAACTTTGTTGCCAGCCTTATCCTGGGCTTCTGAAACCCAAATGCTCACAGATCAGCCACTCGCCTTCCTTCCCGTATCCCCTGCGACAAGAGGGGTCCGCTGGCTGCCCACGGGGACCTGCTCTCAGCCTCTGGGACCCTCAGAGCAAAGAGGTGTCGGTGCAGCTCCTTCCTCAGGAGGACAAGCGGCAGCGCCCTTTTCCCGGCTCTGCCGCCTGCGCCAGGCAGGATATGGCACGGTGACGGAGGCGGCTGGGTGCCGAGCACCCAGCGCTGCTGAGCCGGGGACCTTTTCAGGGTGGCGCTGAAAGAAGCTGGCCCTGGCACAGACACTAAGTTCACCTGGTCCCCGAGGGGACCGACAGGGCCGCAATCCTCGCCCTGCATACCGCCTGTGAAACGGCGGAGGCACCACCGGCCGCACTGGCAGAGCTCTGCCACGCAGCAAGTGAGTCAGCTGTGTAAAAATGTAAACGATAAAGAAGAGATAGCGGACGAGAGCACC